TCTGCCTCGAAGGTCTTACTCATCCATCAGATCTTATCTCATTACTCATTACCAAGCCATCATAGATTCCTCATCTCATCCCTACCCCGTTTATTATACGCACCCATAAATGATATCTTTTTCCTGTTTGGCTCTTACCCCGTTTGGCATATTCCTTATCTTTTACCGCTTTAATCAATCAACCCAAAATTTAGTGGCTTAAAGCAACAAGCGTTTACTGTCTCAAAATTCCCAGGAACCAGGATCTGGAAGCACCTTGCCAAGGCCGACTGTTCCAGCTCAGTCTTTGATGAGCTTCTGGCAGCCTGAAGCCACCTGCAGTCCGGCCTAGGGCTGTAGACTCTGCCCGACTCATTTATTTGGCCTTTGTCAAGGACATCAGTTCAAACCCGAGGGCCTCTCCACACCCAGCTGGACTCTTCACAGCCGAGCAACTTACCGAGAGGAGGCGGGGGGGGGGGGGGGGGGGGGGGGGAGGAGCACACTGACGCCGGTTGTGCTTTGTCTTCAAGTTTAGCCACTCCCTGAGTACTTACTAGAAACGTTTTATCAGATTCCTCCCATCAGGGAGAAAATTTGGTTTCCACTTTTTGAGGGATTTTTTTTTAGAAATATCTGAAGCTGCCCCACACGATTACTTAAGTAAACATATGTCTTCCTTCCTAGATTAAGAATTCTTGGAAACCTACACGCATGGCTCCCACTTTTCTCTGCCAGAAGCCTGAAGTGCATCGGCACACAGTAATGTTAAATGGGTGGGAGGAAGGGATGGGGGCAGGGACGGAGAGTTGAGGGATGTGAGAACGACCTGAGTGGTGTCTCGGTAACTGGGTCCTAGATCTAGAGAATTTGGTATAAACCATGGAATCCTAACGTGAGTGTAAATACAGAGACTGAGTAGGGGCGTACGACTGGCAGATATAATCTATAGACACGCAGCGTGAACTGCAAGGGGCCTCTCAGGGGGAGGGTGTCCAAAAGAGAGGGATAGCAAAAGAAAGTAGTTAAAAGAGAAGACAGAATACATATTTTCTCTTAATTAAACATCTAGATTTAGTTGTGTATACACAGCATGTGTGTATGTGGGAGACATGAACGCATGAGAGGGGTTATCGGAGGTAGAAGAGGACCAGCCAGTCACAGGGGACTAGCAACGATGAGGATGAGGAAGCACAGTAGGAAAGTAAATATGAGCAGAATCTAATGAGTTCTTTGTCTAATTTATGTGAAAACATCATGATAAACTCATGATTTTATGCTATAATTTAAAATTATTCCAAAGGTGGCTCTGTTGTGCAGTGGATAGCACCAGGAACTTGTAAAATCCTTCAAGAACTAAACGGCACCCTGTCCTTACCACACCCTTGGAATCCGACACGGGGGCGGGGGGGGGGGGGGGGGTAAGAGCGGGGAGCCGCTGAATCTTTTCTTCTTCCATGTTTAAATCACTTAGGCTGTCTATTTGATGTGGATCCCACTTCTGGTGTATCTCCCCTCCCTCCCATCTACTGGTGCATGTCTAAGGCTGTTACTCCAGGACCCTTGCACATCCCTATGAACCCCCGCCAGTCTCGCTCTCTCTCTCTCTCTCTCTCTCTCTCTCTCACACACACACACACACACACACACACACACACACACGCAATCGACACACTACAAACAGACTACTTATCTTTAATTCTTTACACCATCTGCTCTTGCAGTCTCTGTTGCTGCCATATTTGTTAAATATGTGATAGGTGGGGGAGGTGAATTGCATATGAATTTCAAGTCCTTTCCTCTCCTTGTTTGTGCAGAACTGATAATGTACCCAAGCTCTCTGTAACTTAGAGAACCAAGCTCAGCCAGTTCCAATAGATTCGGCCGTTAGCCATAGTTGATCACATTCTTCTCAAGTCTGCACAAACTAAATGGCCCAGAAATAGCAGATCTTTTAGAATAGCAATTGGAAAATATAATGAGACTTTTATCACTCTTTAATTCTAGCTCTAAGGCAAGCGCCTTCACGCTATTACTAATAAGGCCTCTGTTGAATGTTGACGTTCTGTAATAGTAACAATGGTGCTATATCAGGAATTCTTCCGTTCTATTTTTCCTTTTGGTGTTGCTGGGGATTGGCCCTAGGGTCTCAGTGCTAGCATACTATAGAGTACTATACTATGGATTTATATTGTGAAGATGGCAAATTCTCAGTGATCTGTAGTAGACAGATACTATGCAGTGGTACATAAGGCTTGTGGGAAGTTGCCAAGTGAATGAAGCATTCTGCCTTTAGGTTTCTCAGACTTGCCATAAAATAGATGATAGTTCCCGTTTTAATAAATTGGAATCTACTGAAAACACGCACACTTGGGGCAAAGTTTGCTTCTGAGGAATAAATATGTGTATTTTGGAAACATTGGCTAAAAGTTCTCATTGAGATTAGCAGTGCTATTCATACAGTGGTTCTGAGCCGTGTTCACAGATCTCAGTACTTGGTCATTAGGGAGTAGTGCTTCTTGACCTGGATTCGGAGGTTTGGCCTTGCTGAAGAAAGTGTGTCACTGGGGTTGGGCTTTGGGGTTTAAAATGCTCAAGTCAAGCCCAGTCTCTCTCTCTCTCTCTCTCTCTCTCTCTCTCTCTCTCTCTCTCTTCCTGTGCCTGCCAATCTGGATGAAGAACTCTCAGCTCTTCTCCAGCACCATGTCTGCCTGCATGCCACCACACATGATGACAATGAACTAACCCTCTAAACTGTAAGTCATCCCCAATTAAATGCTTTTGTTCTATAAGAGTTGCTGTGGTCATGGTGTCTCTGCACTGCAATAGACATTGACTAAGACACATTCCAACAGTTGTAACTGTTCTAATATCCATCCTGCCAGCGTGGAGACTTGGGAACCATTTCCCCAGAGTCCCTCATCCTTTGCATAAGGTCTCCACTGCTTGGGCTCTGCAGATGCTTTCAGCAGCTGAGATAAACCCCATGACTGAAGCTACTGTGTGTGCCTGCTACTCGGTGTGCCCTAGAACTGTGTAAATCTGGTAAGATCTCCTTCCTGTTAGTAGTTCTAAGCATCCCAGCTACTACAAAATAAACAACAAAAATAGAGTCTGACCAGAATCACAGACTTTTGTTTTCCACTTTGGGCCAACAATTGAAGTAACAAAGGCTGTTCAGGCTTCACAGCATTAGAGACCTGCAGAAAGGCTTCATCTCTATAAGAGGGGGGGCTCACAATCCCTGACCCACATATGGGGCAGGTCCTGGCTTCCCATTCTGTACCCAAGATCCCCAGAGATTGATTCACCATGCAGACCATCACTCTTTGTCCTGCTGAACTGAATTGGATAGCTCCTTTTACCAATGGCTGCCCCTAGTGTGTTGTCATCCTTGGGCTCTGGCCTCCATGCTAGTGTTGTCCTCTGCCCTAACTGTGGCAACCAAAGCAAGATGGCTCAGCGGGTGGTTGCTGCCAATCTGAGAACCTGGGTTCAATCCTGAAGATCTACAAGGTAGAAAAAGAAAAGTGATTCCAAAGTGATCCTCTGACAATCACATGGGCACCATAGCACACATACACACACTCACTCGCATGTCTGAAGATCTACAAGGTAGAAAAAGAAAAGTGATCCCAAAGTGATCCTCTGACAATCACATGGGCACCATAGCACACATACACACACTCACACGCATGTCTGAAGATCTACAAGGTAGAAAAAGAAAAGTGATCCCAAAGTGATCCTCTGACAATCACATGGGCACCATAGCACACATGTACACACACACTCACATGCATGTCTGAACATCTGCAAGGTAGAAAAAGAAAAGGGATCCCAAAGTGATCCTCTGACAATCACATGGGCATCATAGCATACACATACACACACACTCACACACATGTGCATGCACACAAACACACAGATAATAAACATATTTTTAAAAGGAAAGAAATGCCTCTAAACACTGTCATATATGCCCTAGGGGGACATCATGCCTGGACAGGAACCACTGTCTACATCTAAGGTCATCTTAGCACCTCCTAGTCAGTAGTAGTGCTCTGAGGATTTCAGGCCCCACAGTCAGTAGCAATGCTCAGAGTACTTCAGATGAGAATGCTAAGTGCTTCCGTGGAAAAGGACTTAGTTCTTTTTCAGCACATCCTGTGGAGAAGACGTTCTAACCAGGGCAACTCCTAGCACAAAGGGCTCAAGAATGAAGCAAGACACAGAGCTTCACTTTTGATCATGTTTAATGAAAAAGAAGTCACGTGAATAGAAATGGACACAGAACAGAGATGGCGGGTGGGAAAGCATGGCGGCTGGAACAACAAGAAGTCGCTTTGCTTCTGACTTCACAGGCACATCCCGTCAGTTACTACTGACCTAACCCGATTCCGGAAACCCCAAACATCGCGATAGTATGCCATTCCACTGACCTTCCACAGACATGCAACCAAGTGTGTCCGAATGGTGTCTCTCCACTTTCCCCCAACCCAGATCCCCAAAACGCACGCGGCCAAGGCAAGCGTATCCACTGTGCGTTATCCCGGAGTGAGGAAGCGCAGCAGCCTTGGCTCTTTATTACACAGCAAGTCAGCACTGGCCGGTGAGCTCTGGGCACGGACACGACGGCTGCTAATATTTTCATGAGGAGAGCACTTAAGCTACGCAACCGTTTATTCTTAGGACAATCAATCGCTGGAGAGTTACATCTGACTCTGCCAGCTTCAGCTATGTGGAAAGACGTTCCTATGGTTTGTAGCTGAGCAGACGTGAAATATGAAAAGGCATAAAGTTTTAAAATGCACAGATGTGAAACTACACTGATCATCCAGGCTTGTTTTATGGCTCATGATTTTCAGTGGGACCAGTCAATATTCTATTTTTATTATTTTCTACTCTAATGAATAGTATGATCATATCATTCTAACTAGGAAATATACATATATAAATCTTTGGAAAAGAACTCTGATCTCTGAAAATATATACTGGTGAGAGCTTTGCAGTAATGACCTCGCTTAAAATAAAATATCCCTCTTTCAAGCTGGAAGCTAGGCAGCACTAAACTCATTCTAGACATTTGCCATGTGGGTAATAAAGAGAAGCAGTAGATTTTACTCTCTGTCCCCTTTAAGATACAAATCTTGTTGGCCAGGGCAAAGCAGCCAGCAACCTCGTATGCTCACATTTCACCGACTGATGTTAGGAGGACCCTTGCCTCTTCTGATACTGGATGCGGAGTTTTTCCAGTTGTTCTACACATTGAGACTGGGCCATCTTCAGTGTCCGGTTCTCTTCGGTCAGAGCCTCAAATTCCCGGACCAGCTGAGCAGCGTCCAGCTTCTCCTTCTCTGCCTGGTCCAGCTTGGCAATGAGCTCCTTTCTGAAATTCAGAACACAGGGAAGAAGCATGGGCTGTACTGCACACATACCCAGCAATCCACACTCCCCTCTCTGTGCTTCTCAGTGTCTGCCCTCTGACCGCCAACCACACCCCTTACTTTTTCCTCTTCTTTTCTTTCCCTTCCCTTTTCTTTCAGTATCTTTATGTTTTTATTAGCTTACAACGCAACAGGTTTCCTTCCACATGGGATGTTTATACATCTCTCCCTCTTTCGCTCCTTCCCACACTGTACCCTTCAGAGCCCAGTCCCCCCCCCCCTTCTACTATGTTCTATGACTGTCTCCACACTTCCCTTGAAGCCTTTTCTTCCACTCTCATGGGCCACTTCCCAGATTCCTGCCCTTTACTCATTTACATCCCCCTGGATGTGAGTATTTAACAATTAGAAGTTAGGATCCAACTCAAAAAAAGTCATGATCCACATGGATAAGTCAGTGTCTCTGTAGCAAGATGTATAGCAAGTCTTTTGGGTGTGTGCCTTGGAGAGGTAACTAGGTCATAGACTAGTTCTATTTTTAGATTTCTGAAAAGCCTCTCACTGGTTTCCATTGTGGCTGCAGTGTTCTATCCTCACATCAACAACAGACAAAATAAGGCCTCACTCTACAGACCCAAGTTGGCCTGGAACTCACTATGTAGCCCAGTGATGGAGGTGGGTCTTGTATCTTATCTGTTGCTCTCATTGGTTAACTAATAAAGAAAACTGCTTGGCCTGATAGGACAGAAAATTAGGTAGGTGGAGTAGACAGAACAGAATGCTGGGAGAAAGAAGCCGAGTCAGGCAGTCACCATGATTCTCCCACTCCAGACAGACGCAGGTTAAGATCTTCCCTGGTAAGCCACCTCGTGGGCTACACAGATTATTAGAAATGGGTTAGATCAATATGTAAGAGCTAGCCAGTAAGAGGCTGGAACTAATGGGCCAAGTAGCTGGCGGCCAGGAGCCGGGGCAGCAAGAACTTAGCCCGCAGCTCCTTTAACAGCCCAGGGTGACCTTAAATGTGCATCAATCCTCCTGCCTCAGTTTTCTAAGTGCTGGATTTATAGTTGTGAACTACAATGCCTAAGTATTGATCTTCTTTTTTATTTTAATTTCTCCAAAATCATGGGTCTTTGGAATATGTTTAGGACCCAGAGATCTTTCAATCACTCAAAACAGTGATCTTTCAAATTATTTAGTGTGTGTGTGTGTGTGTGTGCATGCAGATGTGTGTGTGTGCCACAACATGCAATAAAATCAGCTCTCTCCTTCTACTATGAGTTCTGGGGATCCAGCTCAGGTGGGCTACCTTGTATGGCAAGAGCTTCTTGCCTGTTAAGCCATCTCACTGGCCTGCGATATTGTTACAGAATATTTGTTGAACTATGTACAAATGTGTTGCGTTTGTTTTAACTATGTACAGCTATACTGCATTTAACTATGCATAGATATTTTGCATTTGCTTTTAACTATGTACAGCTATGTTGCATTTGTTTAACTATGTATAGATATTTTGCATTTGTTTAACTATGTATAGATGTATTGCAATTGTTTAACTATGTGCAGCTATGTTGCATTTGTTTAATTGTGTATAGATATGTTGCATTTGTTTAACTATGTACAGATGTATTGCAATTGTTTAACTATGTGCAGCTATGTTGCATTTGTTTAACTATGTACAGCTATGTTGCAATTGTTTAACTATGTACAGATGTATTGCAATTGTTTAACTATGTGCAGCTATGTTGCATTTGTTTAACTATGTACAGATGTATTGCAATTGTTTAACTATGTGCAGCTATGTTGCATTTGTTTAACTATGTACAGATGTATTGCAATTGTTTAACTATGTACAGATGTATTGCAATTGTTTAACTATGTGCAGCTATGTTGCATTTGTTTAATTGTGTATAGATATGTTGCATTTGTTTAACTATGTACAGATGTATTGCAATTGTTTAACTATGTGCAGCTATGTTGCATTTGTTTAACTATGTACAGATGTATTGCAATTGTTTAACTATGTACAGATGTATTGCAATTGTTTAACTATGTGCAGCTATGTTGCATTTGTTTAATTGTGTATAGATATGTTGCATTTGTTTAACTATGTACAGATGTATTGCAATTGTTTAACTATGTGCAGCTATGTTGCATTTGTTTAACTATGTACAGCTATGTTGCATTTGTTTAACTATGTACAGATGTATTGCAATTGTTTAACTATGTGCAGCTATGTTGCATTTGTTTAACTATGTATAGATATGTTGCATTTGTTTAACTATGTACAGATGTATTGTAACTGTTTAACTATGTGCAGCTATGTTGCATTTGTTTAATTGTGTATAGATATGTTGCATTTGTTTAACTATGTACAGATGTGTTGCATTTGTTCATGTTACAGAATATTTATTCAACTATGTAAAGATGTGCTGCATGTATTTAATTATGTAAAGATATGTTGCTGTCTTACCTTGCCTGCCTAAAGCACCCAATAGATCTAATAAAAAGTTGAATGACCAATAGTGGTAGAGGAGGTATAGTGGACTTCTGAGCAGAGAGAGTAAGTAGCAGGAGGAATTTAGGCTCAGGGAAGAAAGAAGAGGACAGATGGTGTGGGAAGTTCTTCTTAAAATGTGTGTTTTTACTGGTTAATGAATAAAGAAACTGCTTTGAGCCTATAGTGGGGCAGAATGGAGCTAGGCAGGGAAAACTAAACTGAATGTTGGGAGAAAGGAGGCAGAGTCAGGGAGACACCATGTAGCAACCAGAAGGGAAAGACACAAGCTGCCAGCTAGAACCTTGCCAGTAGGCCATGGAGCCTCATGGTAAAATATCAACTAATAGAAATGGGTTAATTCTAGATGTAAGAGCTAGCTAGCAATACACTTAAGTGATTGGCAAAGCAGTGATTTAAATAATATACTTTCTGTGTGATTATTTTGGGAGTTTGGTGGCTGGGAAACAAACAAGCAGCCTCCTATAACAGACAAGGAGATGTGGGGATGAAAGAAGCAGGAATGTAAGGCATACCGAAGGAAAGAAAAAACATAGATGAATAGAAACAGGTAAACTTAAGTTATGTGTTAGCATATTCTATACACTATAAAGCATACTCAGATATGGATATGTAGGACAAGTGGGTGAAAGAAAATCTGATGAGGAACAATATTTTTTCATGTTCTCCAAGTATATTCCCACAAAATCTTATGAACTGCAAAGGATAGACGAGAAGAGAAACCTGGGTGACTGCTTCAGCCAAATCAAGAGCATTGTTGTCACCATGGAGACAAATAGGTACCACATGCCTGTGAGGAACAGGCATTACAGCTGTGGTCTTGCCCACCCAACCTAAAATGCATACACTATACATGAGGAATATTAGACAATTACAGGAAAAATATCCCTCATTGGCAGGAAAGAACAAAGCATGTTCTGGGAAAGTTTTAATAATAAATCCAGTAAAAGACACAAGAGGATTTGTGACACTTCCTTTTGGGTTTTCTGTACGTTTGAAACCTTCAAAATTATCTATGAAGGGGCAAAAGTTAAATCAGAATATTTCTTTCTATACCTGATAGACTCCCTTAACCACTCAATTTGGTATTGGCTGAGCAAAACCAAGCTTTCCAAAAGATGGAGGACCCAGCAGGACCAAAGGGGATGGTGTGGAACACACAGGCACATACACTAAGTCCATGGGCTCCAGCTGATCTCTGGATCTTCCAAGATGTTTACAATAAAAACTTGGCAAATGAATAATTGAAGAAAAAAAAGTACTTCAGGGAAAGATCATTTATATCTTAAGAGAAAGGAAACCTAACTCAAAGTGCTCTAATTAAAAAAGCCACACAGCTAATAAAAAAAGGCATAAATCAAGCCTGTCCTGATTAAAGTCTTAGTGTTCTGTGTCCCTGAGCACAGGTAAAGCAGAAAATGCTGATAATTAAATATTGATCAGGAAAAGTTCTCTTGTAATGATCTTAAAGAAATTAATGAGAAAAACCCTACATGGGGTTGAGAAAGAGAACTGTGGCAAATTCTCCACCCATCAGGTCATCCCTGGTCTGCCTGGGGCCCCCTCTCACTTTAAATTACCTACATCACACAAACCATTTAGAGTTCCACTTTCACTGCACGGTCTGGGGGTGGCTAGTACCAGGTCCAAGGATAGCTACTTTCCTGGCTTTCTGTTTGACTTCAGTTAATCCCCTGATGCTTTCTGTCTGTCTTTTGTTTTCATTTCTAGAGATGACCAACTGCAGGATCACTGACTTTCTAACTGCAGGGAATGGTTGAGACTGTCTAGTTCCATCTCTCTACACTAGAGAATGTCAATAATAATTTCTCCTTTACTACAATCAAGAAGCCTCGGCTGATAGGTTTCTAAATTAGCTTCATGTAAGTAATTATATAGATAGCCAATAAAAACTGCCAAGATGTCTGCTGTCTCCTGTTTGGAACTTATTTATTTAGACACATTTATGTTCATCTATTAGCAAGTCATGAGTAAGGCCAGGCACGTCAAGCTACTGAAGCTATTTTATAAACAGATCATTCCAACAAGAATTCATTGTTTACAATGAGGCAAAATATGGGCCCAACTTTGACCTTTCAGGCTATCGTGTCTATCACTCATCCACTGTCATAGAATGTGGGGGAGGGAGGACATAGCTATGGGAATCTTTTTTTGATGCTAAGAATCTGTAGCCTAATACTCTACATGTTGTATCCCAGCAGTCTGAGGGCCACACCCCTAGGATCTACCATGAATCATCAAATGTTCCCATCCTAAGCCACAGACTTGGAAACGTTCTACTTGTAAAGAAAAAGGAGAGAAGGGAAAGTATTAGAGAAAAAAAAAGATTAAAAATATGTGGAAATTAGTTTCAAAATGTAGGAAATTCTTTAGGTTCCAAGAAGTTGATTCATTGATAGTACAAATACTTTTTGATCTAGAGAGATCACTCTTGGGCTGGAGAGATGACCCAGACATGAA